TCTGGGAGTTGAAGTCCACTCATCTTAAAGTGGCCAAGTTTGGACAACACTGGCATAGATGGAGTTGCATCACCTATGTACTTCCCAGCAAGGCTTCTTATTTCTTACATGCCCTATTTATTCTTTCAGGATACAGAATCATCTATATATCTGATCATTTCTATTGAATTTTTTAAGCAAAATGTTACAGTTTTTAATCTAAAGGTGTTTGTGTCTTGAGTAAGGTGAGGTGCTTCAGCCCATTAGCACAGATCTAATTTATTGCCTTGCAAATAAATGAGAGCTCATAGACCATAATTTAAAAAATCATGAACACAGAAAGCTGCTTTATAGCATGTCAAGCTATGTATGATCAACACATGTTCCTTATTGGGATATTTTGGTTTTAGCATAGCTTGTTGTGTGAATCCAGCAAATGTGTTTTATTCAACGAACTCTGGTAAGTAAAGCCTGGCTAAGTCTGGTGTATGATTCCAGATGTTATATTTGCTTTCAGAAAGATCATCCATCTTTTAACTCTAGAGTCTCTGCCAAAATCTGTTCACAGTTGCTACTTGATTTTTTTTTTTTTTTTGTAAAATACAACTAACTAATCTGGAAAAGTGAGGAACAGAACCTGAGACCTTCTGCATGACATCATCTGCTTTCCCATTGAGCAAAGGTTGCAGCTGGAAATGGCTGCTTGCTGGAGATTGGAGCATCTCATGTATCTTCCCATGATTGATTTTGTAGGTAACATCCTCATTTTGTGTTTCTGCTAGGCTAGAATGGAAGGGCGTAGATGTTGAACAGAAGGACCCCACTGTCTTGGTTCAGCATACAAAGGTAAATCAGGAGGTGTCCTCATCTGTGGGTGCCTCCTCCTCTTTGTCATTTGGGGTACGGAGAGTTAAGAGATAGATGATGGATAGAAGTCTTTTTTAAAAAAAATAATTTTATTAAAAGTTTTTAAAAAGAAAATAAAGACTAATACAAACTAATATAAAGAAAGAAAGGAAAAAAAAGACAGAAATCAAAGAGAAAGCTAAAAGTGCAAGAAAAGGAAAAAAGTAAAAGAAAAATAGAGAAGAAAG